CCCCCCGCCCCGACGAATAAACAAATGAAATCTTAAAAAAAATAAAAACTTAACTGTTTCTCGTAGTGTATGGGGATTAACATAAGAATAAAAAAATAAAAAAAAAACTTACTGTTTCTCTTAGGAAAGTGATTAATTGAAGACCCATATTTTTTCTGGGAAGAACATTCACTATTTTTGTCTTGTGTATAGCGGGAAGCGCAGTAAACTGGAGAGTTGTGAAACTGTAGAGTTTTCTTCTCCAGCTCTGCCTCTGCCTAGTGTGTATTATTTTGGGCAACTTATAAAAATAAAGGATGTAGTAGTCTCATAATTCCTATCTGGAATAGTTCTGTAGTGTTACCGATTTACTTGTGAAACTACAAAATATTCCCTCATTCATATTATACTTGTGCCCTATATGGCATCCCTGACATCCTTTTTTATTTTTCTTTAGTGTGTTGTTGGTGGCTGCAACGCCAGCTTTGCTTCTCAGGGAGGGCTAGCTCGCCATGTACCCACACACTTCAGTCAGCAGAACTCCTCAAAAGTTTCTAGCCAGCCAAAGGCCAAAGAAGAATCTCCTTCTAAAGCTGGGATGAACAAAAGGAGAAAATTAAAGAACAAAAGACGACGCTCATTACGTAAGTGTTTCACTAAAAATCTGTATGTGTATTAGATAGCTTTTGTTTATATCTTGGGCATTCATGGAATTCAGGTTTTACTGTTCTTTAACTCTGCTTGCATGTTTTTGTTAACAATAATAAACAGATAGGATCCCTTGGGTGTCAGTGTGAGAGTTCAGTGTGATAAATGTTTTTTTTTTTTTTTTTTTTTAGTGTGATAAATGTTTTATCTTAGTAGTTAAGGGAGGGTGAGTATATGTGGCCTTAGAATATAAAATCTGTAGAATTACATTTTGATGGCTCCTTTGATTCTGTTCTAAAATAAGAAAATTTAAAATATGGCAATGTTGGTATTTTAGAAAATTGTAATAATGAAATAAAAGTAACTAGTCTGCCCCAAAGCGGTATGTGTGAATAGCAAAAACTATTTGTAGTATGTGTCTCAGTACTTAAGTCTATTGTAACATCTCTTATGTGCTCAATTACCAGATTATGAAATGTATCCTCAATATTTAAGATAGAACACAAGATGATGAGGCTTACAAATGCAGGGAGCAGGAATTGACTTAGAACCTCCAGAGCCTAGCACTGGCCCTGGTTCTTAGTGTCAACTGGCAAATAAATATGTCCTAAATGAAGAAGTATGATTGACTGCAGCTGTCATTGAAAGGGAGTCCACTGCAAGGGTAAACTAGAAAGAAAAAAATAGATTGCACTGTACCCTCCTTTCTCTTGGGATTTGATTATAGAAGAGACTCCAGACACTAAACCAGATTAGAAGGTTTGTCTCTAGAATGTTAACATTTTTTTGTTACTACAAAGCTGCAGTGGACAAATGAACAAATCATAGGTGACAAACTTTTCTAAACTCTTAAGTTTCTTGTTGAAATAAACAAGTGTATTTTTCAGAGTTGGCTATTGAATTTAGGTTATGGATCCATTTTCCTTTTGCCTTCCATTTTGTAAAAACAGAAATGACATCTGTTTATTTTACTTGACTATTGATTTGGGTAGCTTGCAATCACAGAAAATTGCTAAATATATATTATGGTATTCAAAACTGAGAATAACTTTCCCACCTATTCCACTTAATAACCTCATTATTTTCTTCTGAGTGTATACATAGTAATCATTTAAACTTACTGACTTTTTCACATTATTTGTTTGGTAATACCTCTACAGTTTGCTAGTTCTCTTAAGGAGAACGGTTCAGTTAAGTATCCAGTCCTCACTTAGAAATGGAGGGACCGGTGGCTGCTTTTAAGTCTGGCCTCTTTTGAGAATGTTTTTTCCAATATTAACTAATAAAATGGGCTACGTAGGGAGAGTGGTGGGGAGGGAGGTCTTGTGGTAGGTGAAAAAAAAAAAAAAAACAACCTTTTTGTTTCCTGTTTTATGGGGGAGAATGAGGATAATCCTGAATATATGAACTTTAAAAGATCAAGACCTTTCACTGTGAGTAGCCACTATTAAGTGCTGTGGTTTGAATGGCAGAGCTGCTGCCATTGCACTCCATTCCTTCCTTAAAAATATACAAGTCTATAGTAGTGTACTAAAATCACTTTGATAGTACCTTCTTCATGTAATTCAGAGAGGTCATTTTCACTTAACTGGGTGAAATGTATATTAACAAATAGTAGAACTGTAGCTCTTACTGTTTGATACAATTTTGACGTACTTTAAAGTGGAAAGAATAGTACAATAAATAGTTGTATATCTTTCATTTAGAGAATATGCCGTATTTGATTTATCTCCCTACATACATACTTTTTTGTCCTGATTCCAACATACAAGAATGCATCTCCTAAGAATAAAGATATTCTTTTACATGACCATAATACCATTCTTGGGGAGATACCCATAATACCATACCAAAAAGGCAAAAAGAAATCAGGTAACATGTATAGTTTTGAGCCACAGTCTTTATTTTTGTGGTCTCCAAAGGTTTTTTGATTGTATAGCTCATCAGTTAAAAAAAAATGCTTGAGCACCCAATCCCAACATCTGTGCTTATATAGTGCACACAGATAATGCTACTGATACACATTATAAAGCAGTTACCAAGAAGGGTATATTGAAAAACATCAAGATGAAAAACAAAAGTAGTGATAGTATTTTCTTCCCTTACCCTAAGGGATCATGACACAGACCTGCTTTGGAGACTATTGTTCTAGTTTCTCTGTTTCCTCTAAGTGCTTATCCTGCTCAGGAAAAAGCGTATTTGGAGAGCACGGACAGAGTAGAGTACACTTTTATTTCCCCCCAGTAGGCACAAATCTGATAGGAAGGGGATTTGTTTTTCCTTTTGACTTTTTTTTTTTTCCCCATAAACGTCAAATATTTTTTTCTGATTTACTCTTGCATTCCTAGTCTTGTGGGTTCTGCTAGTTTATTACTTGATGTTTTGCTTATTTCCTTTTGAAGAAAAGTCCAGTGAAAAAATAGCTATTCATTATTGAGTATGCCAACTGGTGAAAACATTTCCCACAAAAGCTCTGGTGGATTTGTGTAGATGTTCTGAGAACTCCATGATTAGCAGAGGCAAATCCACCTCACGTAGTAAATCAGAATAGTGTGGTAAATCAGCATACATGTAATTCAGAATAGACTGTACCAGGAAATCAGGCCATTTCATTTATTGTCAATAAAATTTAATTTTTAATTACAGATGATCTTGAAAATTTTCATGTATTAGTAAGCTCCACAGTTGTAAAATACGAAATTCACTTTCCTTATTTTGAGCAACATTCTTATTAGGAATAAAAATAGCATAATTTATAATAATACTAGTGGGATGAAAACAGAAATTTAAAAAATGTTCTTACCAAACCAAATTAAATCTTCAGTGTATAGTTTTGTTGTGATTACACTAAGAGATTGCTTACTCCAGATTTGTGAACTTATTTTAAAAAGTAGTATAAGCTTATTAATATAAACCACTTTGTGATTTAAGACATTTTTCATATGCATTTGTTTTACTTAATCATAGTCTATAGCTGTTGTATATTCATTTCACAAATAAGGAAACAGGTTAAGTAGATTAAGCAGTTGCCGAAGTCACACAGCTAATAACTGGTGGAGTTGGGAGTTAGAATTTTGGCAGACTCATTGGCACTGAAAACTTTATAATTTTCTTAGATTGTTGTTATTTTTAATTTTATATTTATAAATTTATAATTTTCTTAGATTGTTGTTAGAGTTATTTTTTTTCTTTGAATATTTATTTATTTGAGAGGGAGAGGGAGAGCAAATCCCAAGCAGACTGCCCACTAAGCGTGGAGCTGATATGGGACTCAATCTCAGGACACTGTTCAGGACCTGAGCCCAAACTGAGTCAGATGCTCAACCATCTGTACCACCCAGGCGCCCCAGAAGAGTTATTTATATTCAAGAAAATACTTGCCAAAAACTCCAAAATAATATTACAGGTTTTTCAGATTTGGAAAAAAAATTTTTTTTTAAATTTATTTAAGTAATCTCTACACCCAACGTGGAGCTCAAACTCACAGTCCTGAGATCGAATCCTTTGCTCCTCCAACTGAGCCAGCCAGGTGCCCCAGATTTGGAAAATTTTTGATCACATGTTAATATAGAATATTCATGACATGTATTTTATATATTTGGCTGTGGTGAATTAGATCTCAGCATATTGATAGATGAGATACTCATCAGATTGTTGAAAATACAGGACTGGTGCTCAGGAGAGGTACTGAAATAAAATATGAAATTATATGGAAAAGATAGTAGCTGTAGTGTGGAATCATGAGGCCTAAGGTTAGAACCTCACACACCAATGGGCATAGTTAACACACATTCACTCATTAGTTGGAAGTCTACTTTTGTGTATCCTTCTTGTCAGGTAGACCCTGTGTTCTGAAAGCAAAATAAAATTTTTTATTTAAATACCAGATACGTATGTTAATTGTTTCAGTCCTTCTTCTTACATATTTTTGTGGAAAATCTTGGCAGATTGTTACATTTTTCTAAATATTCTTTATCTTTTTGTATTGACTTTTAGCACGACCACATGATTTCTTCGATGCACAAACACTGGATGCGATAAGACATCGAGCCATATGCTTTAACCTCTCAGCTCATATAGAAAGTTTAGGGAAGGGACACAGTGTTGTTTTTCATAGTACTGTAAGTATTTGTTACTGTTTTTTTTTAATTATCAATGTAGGTTTGCAAGAACATGTATTTTGACTTTCACAGTCATATTTCTAAACTCAAAATCTTAAGAAAATATATTTTAACAAAATCACAAAAAGTTCTGCTTTATCAGTATTTTAAAAATTACATGTATTGTTGGTTATAAAGCAAATACAGTTAACTCTTAACATGGGTTTGAACTGCACAGGTCCACTTAACACAGATTTTTTTTCAATAAAGATAGTAAAGTACTGTAAATGTATTTTTCTTCCTTATGATTTTCTTCTAGTTTATTATAAGATATGGCATATAATACATATAATGTATAAAATATATTAATCGACTGTTTATGTTATCAGTAAGGCTTCTGATCAATAGACTGTTGTAAAGTTCTTGGGGAGTCAAAAGTTAAACGTGGATTTTCAATAATATGGGTGGTTGGCAGTCCTAACCTCTGCATTGTTCAAGAGTCAACTGTATTTTCCACAGTTCAACATTTTGATGATTAAATTGAATATTTTAGCCTTTAATTTGAGCTATTTAGGAATATTGGGGTGACATTTGGGCTTGTAGGCATTTGAAGATCAGGCTCTAACCTTAAACTAGGTGTCTTTTCTGCTTTCCTCATTTGTAAAATTAGAATATTAGACTCTTTTTAACTCATAGCCATAAGTGCTTACATGCTTCCCCCTCACCCCCCAGAACACATCTAAAGTTGGAATTAAATAAGATAACGGCCACAGATTAAAGATTTGTGAAGGAGGGAGTTTTTGTTTATTCTACTGATGTATCCCAAATTTCTGTAATTGTGCCTTGACACGTAGTAGGCAGTCTGTATATTTGTTTGAATGACTATGTTCAGTATCAAGTTCAAATTTCAAGTGTCAAATTTGAAAAAGCAATAAATACTTTTATTTTTCGTTAGCTAGGAAGTAACAGAGAGTTGTTCTTTATTCCCATGCCCCTTGCCATTTTATTATCCAGTCATCCTTAAATTGGTGTATTTTGATGTAGGTAAGTTAGTAGAGATAAATTTTAGACCAGACCTTGGTGATTTGAAACCCTGGAGAAAGGGATTGTTTAATTTTGACTGTTGAAATATAAAATATACTAAATTTAGGTTTTATTTCTTTTTTTTTTTTTTAAAGATTTTATTTATTTATTTGAGAGAGAGAGAATGAGAGAGAACACATGAGAGGGGATAGGGTCAGAGGGCAAAGCAGACTCCCCGCTGAGCAGGGAGCCCGATGCGGGACTCGATCCAGGGACTCCAGGATCATGACCTGAGCCGAAGGCAGTCGCTTAACCAACTGAGCCACCCAGGCGCCCTAGGTTTTATTTCTTATATCAGTCAGAATGCACAAGAATTATATACAGAAGATCTATTATTATTATTATTGGTGCAAAAATGTGGTTTTAGTATAGCATGGAGACAGGACCTGTGGGCAGAAAGAGCTGCCTAAAAAAATCAGTATTGATACCAGTTTCTCTACTGGTTTCAATATTTTTTCCATCTCCTATAACTCTATTGCATTGCATTTTCACTTTTTCTTTTATGTATACTTCCAGTGAAACATTCCCAATTTTGATTATGATTACCAGAATGAAGGGCAAGAAATGTAAAGATTAGACCGAAAGCAAGGGACATTTTCTGAGATTGGAGCATGTGTTGTGAGTTTGGGTTTGAGGAAAGGTGCACCGTTATTTATTCTCTTTTAAAGAACATTGGATTAAAAAAAGAACATTGGAAATATAGTTATCTAAATAAGAATGAAAGGGTTGAAAGGAAAATTAGAGTTTGAGAAGACAAAGTTAAAATGGCTGTATTGGGAATTCTGTTGGGATTCAGCAAGATCAGGTACTTGTTCAGCAGTAATGGTTAAAGTCCTCCCTTGTTGTTGTTGTTATTTTTAAAATATTTTATTTATTTGAGAGAGGAAGAGAAGAGAGCACAAGTGGGCGGAGGGGCAAAGGGAGAGGGAGAAACACATTCCTCGCTGAGCAGGGATCCCGACAACAGGGCTCCATCCCAGAACCGTGGGATTATGACCGAGCTGAAGGCAGATGCTTAACCAACTGAACACCCAGGCGCCCCTGAAATCCTCCTTTGAAGTTTGATAACATAGGTTTATGATTTGGTAGGTCTATAATTGTTCTTTTTTTCAAAGGTCAGTAAGTAAGATGTGGTCACCAGACCCAAAGTATGGCATTAGTACCTGTTTGTTCATTCACTTAAATATTGAGCTCCTACTGTGTACTAATGATACAACAGTGAACAAAACCATTAAAACAAAACAACTGTGTGTAGTGGAAGAGACATGATAAACAAGATGAAATAGTAGTAAATTGCAAAAACTTACAGGAAGTGGGGGTATGAGCCATTTAATTATTAGGGGGATGAATGTCATTACTAGAGGGAAAATCAAATATAAAATTGAAAAATAGGAATATGCTAAGTATGTCTGAAAATATGCCAAGTATGCGAGAAGGCAGAGAGTAGGAGTTAAGTCAGAGAGGTAATAGGGGGAGAATCTTGTTGGACTAAGACTTTGGTTTTTATTCTTTGTGTGATTGAAAGCCATTGAAGAAGTTTGAGTAGCCATGATCTGATGTGATTTTTTGTTTTGTAATTTTTATTGAGGTATAATAAATATAAACTGCACCCATTTAAAGTACACAGTTTTATGAGTTTTGACAGTTGATCTATGAAACCACCACCGGCCACCACAGTTAAGATACAGAACATTCCCATCACTCAAAAGTTTTCTAGTGTAAAACTTCACTGATCTCTTTCCTCTCATGTGGATTTTAATGTGCTCACTTGGGTTTCTGTGTTGAAAACAGAATGTAGGTCAGGATGGGGAAAAGAGGATCAGTCCTTTTAGTATCTGAGGTGAGAAAAGGCCAGAATGGTTACAGTGGAGATGCTAAGAATTGTTAGATTCTGAATATCTTTAGAAAGTAGTACTGACCATGGGTGGCTCAGACAGTTAAGCGTCTGCCTTCGGCTCAGGTCACGATCTCAGGGTCCTGGGATTGAGCCCCGCATCGGGCTCCTCCTCCCTCTCCCTCTGCCTGCTGCTCCCCCTGCTCGTACTCTCTCTCTAATTAAAAAAAAAAAAAAAATCTTAAAAAAAAAAAAGAAGTACTGACTAGAATTATGGAGGGATCAGATGATGTGTTTGATAATGAAAGTAAAGGATAACTCCACTGTTTTTGGCCTGGGTAACTGGACAAAAGAATGGAGTTGCCATCTAACAGAGAATTTGGGGAGAGCAGATTGAGGGAGAGGGCAGTGTCAAGAGCTTAATTTTTGACACATTCAATAGAGAATCTATTGCCTCTTTCACTTAGCCAGATGGAGGTAAGAGTTTGAGCCCAGAGGAGAGGTGTGGCTACAGATACAAATATGGACATTTTCAGCATATTAGTGGTATTTAAAGGAATCAGACTGGATATGGTCACCTAGGAACTAAGTATAAATAGAGAAGAAGTGTAAGGAATGAGGTTTGGGGCTTATCACTGATTTTAAAGGGCAATAGATCTGGTGAAATAATGGTTTAGTAATGAGCAAGTATGAATATTAAGGAATAATGATGGTGACGGTGGTGAATAAGCTTATGTTTTGAAAATGAAGCACCAATGTTCACATGCTTTCATTAGAGCAGCTTTTTTTTTTTTTTTAAGATTTTATTTATTTATTTGACAGAGAGAGATATAGTGAGAGCAGGAACACAAGCAGGAGGAGTGGAAGAGGGAGAAGCAGGCTTCCTGCTGAGCAGGGAGCCCGATGTGGGACTCGATCCCAGGACCCTGGGATCATGACCTGAGCCGAAGGC